CGGCTCTCTGACCACGGCCCCGTTGGCAGGAAGAGAGAAGGCATTGAGTTGCCTGCCCCCACCCAGCAGGCATCTGCTGGGGTCACAAAGGGAATCTGTGGTGACTGCGGCCCTCAGAGTCTCTCCACCTATTGCTTTTAGACGTGTGATGTATTAGTCTCCTCTTGCTGCTGTAACATATCATCACAAACTAGTTGGTTTCAAAGAACACAGATACGCTGTAGTTCTGGAGGTCAGAATTCCAAGATGGGCCTCACTGGGCTAGTCAAGGTGTCTCGGGYTGTGTTCCTCTGGAGACTCTAGGGAAAACGGGGGTCCCGGCTGTTTCATCTCTGTAAGTTATGTGAGGAAAGGAGTCCACTGGAGAGCTCTGAGCTGTGGACAGGTCCAGTCACTTACCATCTGTTAATGTCACTTGGCTGTTGTCTGGAGGATGCAGGACAGCGAGAGGAAGGAGAGGTTCAGGAAGAGACTCATCTAAGAGGTGGCTGCGGCCCACCCCCACACGATGGCAACCAGGACACCTTGGTAGTGGAGACAGAAATGAATGACGGGGACATATATTTTTAAAGGCTGAATTGATAAGACCCAACCACGGGATGGATATGGGGAAGAAGGGCAAGAAGGAGGTGAGGCTGATTTCCAGATGAGGAATTGAGTGGTGGTGCCACTCCCTGGGGTGGGGAGTCTGGGGTATGAGTAGTCCAGGTTGGGGGCCAGAATTCGTGTCGGCCAGTGTGCACACCTATGAGACCTCCAACGTGACGTGCTGTCGACTAGATGGAGATTTGTGTTTGGGATCCATGAAGAGGTTTCTAGAGAATCATTGGCAGATTGATGGCGTCCAAAGTGTGGTCTCGGTGAGGTCACTATGCAGTGTGTAGGTGGAGAGGTAGACCCCCGGTGCAACCTGGGTGGTCCAAGACTGAGGGGCTGGGCAGAGGAGGCTGGGTGGGCCTGAGACACTGGGAAGGAGCTGCTGGTGATGCTGGTGAACTGCAGAGGGGAGGAGGGGGGAACATATCACCTGTTTTAAAAGCTGCTGAGAGAGCAAGTGAGTGGGAACTTGAAGAGCATCGTCACTAACGGCCACTGGTAATTTCAGCATGTGCAGTCCCTATGGAGTGCTGGGTGGGAAGTGTGGGAGTGAGAGATTCCTGACAGCYACCGAGGACCCAATTTCCTACCTCGGAGGGAGAGTTTGCTTTCATATGACGTAAGGCCTTCTGCCTTTGTTTTTACTATGTGCAAATAATTTTAGAGGAAGCAAGACTGCTAACACTGAAACATGATTTCATGATCAGTTAGAAGTTATGCTAATGCTTATTAAAAGGTGACCTAGAAAAGAGTCTGTGGCAATGAGCGTCAGTAGCCTGCTGATGTTGGTTTGGAGGGGGCTGCATGGCTGTTTTTGTGAATTTCCTGAGCGACACTGCGACGACCCTGCGTACACTGGGAGGCTCAACGCCTCTGCTGCGGGTGGCACCTCCCTTCACGAGTTGGGGCTAGGATGCCTAAGGCYGCTGTGACAGTGGCCACATAGTACTTGCACGTAATCATTGCTGTCTTGATTTAAGTTGCCAAATTACTGTGCACATTGAAACTAGTGGTAGTMATGAAGGGGCAGTGGTAAGGTCTTGAAAAGTTTGAATGACATCACCCTTTATAAAAAAATGTAGCACTTTGGCAAATTTCTCCCGGAGTCTCTCCTTGCACGCAGGTGTTTTGAATTTCCAATATTTCTTCTTTGACGTCCTCCATGGAGCGTGTCTTCAGTTATGTTTTCCTGTGGCGTTGACAGAAAGGAAATGTATTCTTATTATAGCATTCAAATTCTTTGCCTTCCAAGTTTGGCTTTCTTAGCAAATCTTTTGTGTCAAATGATTTTAATTTCCTGATTTACTTCTGAGCCTTCGCCTTGGCCCACTGATCTTTCGATGGGTGAAGTTTATAGACATCCACACTGTGTTATAAATGATCCTTCCTGGCAAGGCTTATATAATGCTGTGAGTTCAGCTTTACCCACATTTTCTCAGGACCTGGGGTAAGGCTGATGATGTGCTGGGGCAGGACTCACAGAGACAGAAGTTGGTCCAGCGGGAGGTGGGGGTGGGGGTCAGGGAAAGAAACTGATAAAACTAAGCGTGGACCCATCTGTGAGATGGAGACGTGAGCACAGGAGAGAGCTCTGGTCTTCTTTGGCTGGGGGCTTCGGGGTCAGATGGAGGCGATCTTTGTGGACATGGATCTTAAACAGGACATGGATCTTAAGCAGTGAGCAGGACTCCGACAGGCAGCTGCCCCAGGACAGGGCAGATGCAGGGAGCAGGTGGTGAAGGCACAGGCCGGGGGCATGAAGGGGCCAGTGGCTCCTGACCCTGTGCACCTTGGTTCTCACTTGGGCAGTGGCTGAGGTTACTCCAGGTGATGAGGGTGGTGGTGAGCTGTGGTTGGGGGGCGCCCATGGAGCTGGAGAGTCCTGGCCTTCAGGCTGGGATGTGGGACGGTGCATCCTGGGGTAAGACATGGTGACGTGTGGGGAGGTTCCCTTTGGCACGGGGCAGAAGAGCATTGAGGAAGAGGCTGAGAAGTTACGTGAGTTAGCCGTATCGGAGCCGGGAAGCCAGCGTGCTCAGGGGCTATTTTGGGGAGGGGAAGTTAAACACTGGGCAGAGTATGGGAGGAGGTGAGGGTACAGAGGACATCAGGCAGGAGGGGAATCCATGTGCCAGCAGGAGATTAAACCAGGCAGTCTATCTTTTGTCTCATGTTGGAATGAAGGATTATTGAGCATACGGCACCCTGCTCACTGTTGGAAGACAGGAAAGGGGTCCAAACTGGGTGCTGAGTGAGAAATGGCCATGTCTGTGTCTCCCCACCAGATCTAAGCCCTTGAAGAGCAGCAGCCCTGCCATGCTTCTCGAGTGGACAGTATTTAGAAGGTTTTAATACATATCCACCAATCAACCAATTGCATAATAAAGTGCATCAATAAAATCCCATTTTCATTATTCAGTATTTTTTATTGATTGTGATATGGTATCATCATATTTTATTGTTTCCAAGTAGTATTTAATGGCATGGGAAATGCAGTTTGACTTTAAAGTAAAAAAAGACATATATGCAGTAAGATCTGGTTTCCTATGTGTGCATGTGTGTGAGTGAGAGGGAGTTGTCAAACATTAGTGACAGTTATCATGAGATCAGAACGGTGCTTATTTCTGTTTTCTGTAACAATCAAAACTGCCCCACCTGTAATTTCGCACAGCCTTCCTGGTGAAAATCAAAACCCGAGTGGGCTCCCTCCTGCCACACGGCAGCTTCCCGGCTGCTCTTCTGGGTTTGGTCTCTGCTTAGTCCTTGGAATTCCTTCTTGACCTTCATTTCTTGCTCTGTGCTGCTAAGGAGGTGGCTCAACATCAGAGTGCCCGGGGAGCCAAACCTCCCCTGGCCCAAGGTGAACGTTCTGCCGGCCTCCTGTGCCGGTGCGAGCTTTGCCGTGTGTCTGTGCTGCTCATGTCCTCTTGGCTGCCATTTTCCATCCCAGTGCCCTTTCAATTTTATTTTGTGATTATCGATTGTATTCTTCTTTTCTGCTGGAAAGCCTATTCTAAAAACACATCTGCAGACCTTTCCTGGCTCTGCTTGGATACAGTTACACATTTCACTGACCATGAGTAGCAAGGATACATCCTCCCGGTGCCTGCAGGGTTCTCTGTGTGGTCTTTGTAGGCAGGTGCAGCATTTGGACACAGAAGTGTCACCCAAATAGTCATGTCCATGGTCCTAGCTGGGGTCTCCTGAGCCTGGCATCTGATATGATTGATGTCTTCTGAGGGGCTGGGCGGGCCTCCTCCCCCCTCCCTCCCCTGTGGCTGCATCTTCTCACCCCCCAGACTCTGAGCGGCACCTCACTGTGGCAGCACTGTCCTTGCACACCACACGCAGGCTGCATCTCTCTCCTGGTTGGACTGGGAGCACCCCGGGGGAACCGTCTGCCTCCCTCACCCTGCAGGCTGCTCCTGGGCTCAGCGTGCCTCACAGAGCATTGCTCCTCAGCAGWCGCAAGAACATACTCCACATTTAATCGAGGGCGACCTCATAACTCTGGCCCTGTGCAGTATCATCCACACGTTAAATAACTGTGGGTCCCTCCAACACGCCTCCATCGTGGAAAGAGAGGGGACTGTAAGAAAAAAGACAGAAACATGTTTTCCAGACCGTAGGGGTAATCAAACTCTGTAACAGATTACCAGGGAAGGAGGCAAGATTGCTGTCCCTGGAGAGCCTTCAACACCGGGCAGAGGGAACGAGTGAGATCTGCTGCTGGGGGCGTTCACCTGTCTTGGGGCCAGTAGACAGACAGAATGACAAATGGGCCCGGGATGCTTTGATTACTCGGAGACGAGGAGGCTGGGGGAGACATGAAAACGACTTCAAATATGGAAAACAGCCATGATTGCCTTCCCGAGGAGGAGAGCGAGCTGAAGGAGCTTCACCTACAGACTTAGAGGTTCAGGCTCCATTGTATACTTAGGGATTTAAAGTCACAGGTGGCGAGAATCTTGTGGAAATCGGTGAAGTCAATGATATTGATTTTTTTGGGGTGAGAGGGAATTATTCCAAAACGTTATATTGAATGTATAGCATTTTCCTTGGAAAAAGTAGCCTTGTAAAGCACCAGGCCTTGTCGCTGGTCAGTGGCTAGGAGGGGAGAACTGAGAGCCGAGTTAGCGGCCCCTTGGAGGGGTGCGTTACCAAGTCAGTAGCCAGGGGCGAGCAGGAGTTTCTGCAGAGCTCGGAACCTTCCCCSGTGGAAATGTAGAGGAGAGGGGGGAGGGGGAGGGGCTGCCAAAATCCTGCCACTAAAAAGGGAGCCCAGATACTACTAGAAAAAAAACCAAAAAAAAACCATTGGGGATGTTGCTGCAGTTTTAGCATTCAGCCACACGATGTCACCATTGGATTTTGATTGTCACTGTGTTTGTCTCAAATACTAGATGAAGGCATTTTCAAAGCTGGAGAAGAGAGGTCTGAAATGCGGGGGGCAGCAGAAGTCCAAGAAGATGAAGACACTCGGGTGGAGATCCCAGTGGATCAGGTATTCTCCACGCCCTGGAACATGCGTCCCTGCCACCGAGCCCCGGGTGTCTTTCAAACCCTGTGTTGTCTGTGACCGCGGTTCCTGTGCCTACCGAAGTCAAACCTGCCAGGTGCCAGGTGGTGGAAGGACCTTACCCACATAACAGAACAACTTCAGCTCTCTGAGTGTTCCAGAGAATAGCCTCGGGGACTAGTGATCTTTAAAGTGGAAAATGGTCTGTGTTTGATAAACCGCATGGAGAGGAGATGGGATGGGGTTAGGTATGAGATCTGAAGGAGGACGTTCAGTGTGTGTCAGTGTATGCAGGAGCACTTGGTTGGGGTTTCAAATCCAGGAAAAAGTCCTCCTTCACTTAGAAAAGCATTTTTTTTTTTTTTTTTTTTTTTTTACTAAAATGCCATGATGTTCTCTTCAGGGTCCTTGAAATTATGCTGGTTGGAATTTGTTTTTCGTAAAGGAATTGCTTATATAAATGCAGCTCAAATATTTGCTAGCTGTGTATTGATTTTCTCAGGCCCATGGAGCAGTGTACTTTTCAGAGAGAGAGAGAGAGAGAGAGAGAGAGTGTGTGTGTGTGTGTACACTACATGTGTGTGCTCGTGCAGGGGACTAAGTGGTGTTAAGTGTGGCTAAAGGATGCCAGAAATGAGTGAGTCCGGTCCTGAAGTCCGGCTCCTCCGGCTTTCTCACAGCTCTTGGTGGAGGGCAGGTGTGTAGGTGAGGAGGGGGAGAAGACAGTCCGACTCAGGGGAATGGGGAGAAGTCACCAAGAATTGCCACTTGTCCTCTGCCTATTATGTGACATTTCCTTTTCTAAAAGCAAATTTCAGAATCCAGCGAATTCCACCACCGCCACCGCCTCGCGCCTGTCTCAGCCAGRAGACCCGGGATCGCTACTTGAATATTTCACTGGCATTTTCTGCCAGCGTTGCCTTCCTGATAAAAAGCCGAATGTGCTAAAAATCACAGATTTTAAAAATCCAATTTATTTTCTAGGATTTACTGTAACTAATAATTTTTCATAAATCCTAGTTATGGGTATTTTTTTTCCCTGAGGGGAAGCAGAATTTTAAGTCATCTGTGAAGTTATAATTAAATATTATATTTTAAGACAAAGAAGGGTAATCATCATGTACATACAGCTCTAGGAGCTGTTCAAACCCAGACTAATTTATATTCCAGAGTCAGAACAGCAGGAGGAAATCAGCAATATTAGTAAAAGAGAAATCTCTCTGTTAATCACTTATTAAACAACTTGCAAAACCAGGGAGAGGCATTTGTTTACTGAAGAGTTTGCTGATTATAAAGAAGGCGAGTTGAGAGGGAGGCTCGATCCCCGGTCATACTTGAACAGCCCTGGGTGTGTGTCTGCAGAGCTTGGCTTTTTATTTGGCATGTGAGTGCTCGCTTGTTAAAATGCAAATGTGCAAGGTTGGTAAAAGTTGAGCAATAACAACAGACTGATGTTGACTCAAAAAATAAAGCCAGGTGAAAGTGACCAGTTACTTCCTTCTTGGGCTCCCTTGGTCCTCAGGCTCGGGTTGGCACGAGGTGCTTATGGGGTTGGGCGCGCGAGCCAGTCTGTCTGGTCTGGTGGCCTTTGCTCAGTATGTTATAAAATTGTGAAAAACTAAACGAGAGCTGGAGAAATTAGCACCAAGCCCTTTAGCTCCATCATAGTAAGAAAGAAGAACGCTGAGGATGTGGCCCCAGGGGGACCTGCATTTAACAATGGCTACCATTTTTTAGTACCTACTGAGCGCCATGTAAAGGGCTAGGCGTTATCTCATGTGATCTTGGTGACACGAGTCCCATTTTACATGTGTATGTGGAAAACTGTGAGCTCATGTAGGTGAGCTAACTTGTGCAGGTGGTACCAGTAGGTAGAGCAAGTGGGAACTGAAGGAGGCTCTGACTTCCCGTAGAGGGGCGGTCTGCAGGGGAGCGTTAAATAGAGCCAACAACAACCAGAAGAAAGCCTGGTGCTAATCCAGGGAAGGGGGAAATTCCTCCATAAGGGTGGACGTGCAGTCACTGCCTACCGCCTGGCTCAGCTGTAAATGATCCCGCACACACACTCCCTCAGCCTGTGAGCGGGTTAGCTTCTTTGGACTGGTTTCCAGTTGTCTAAATGGTCCACCTTATAATTTTAAGAAAGAGTCATAAAGGTGTGCATGTGTGTGTGTGTGTGTGTGTGTGTGTGTGTGTGTGCTGGAAAAGTCCTGTACCACAGGCCGAGTAACCTCTGTGTTCCTGAACAGGAGGTCGCGTGCAGGAGCTGCGCAGGCTCTGCCAGGAGGCCATGCTCCTGGGGCCTCTGTGGGCAGACACTGCCTGTCTTTGTCCTCAACCGTCTTTGTAAGGGTGCTTGTGCTGTGTGATGGCCCTGAAGGACGGACGGTGACATCCCCTGGAATAATTGTTGTCATCCAGAGGYGATTTTGTGTCCAGGGGAATATTGGGCTTTTTCTGTGGACGTGTTTGGTGGTCACAACTGGGGAGCTGGGTAGCWCGAGTGGACAGTGGTCAGAGATGCCGCTGTCCACCTTGTAATGCACTCAACAGTCCTCATGGTGAAAAACCATCCAGCCCAAAGTCTCAATAGTGCTGAGACGGAGAAGTACGACTGTGTCAGTCAGCTTTGTGTCACAGTCACCAAAATACCTGACCAGCACAACTTAGAGGAGGAGAAGTTGATTTTGAGCTTGTGGTTTCAAACGTTCAGTCCATGCTTGGCCGGCTCCCTTGCTCTGGCCCAAGTGAGGCCGAGCATCTGGTGGAAGGGCCCAGCAGAGGGAAGCCACTCATCTTGCCAACGGCAGGGAGCAGAAAGAGGAGGGAGAAGGAGGACCATCCGTAATGCCCAAGGCACACCTAGAGGCCTGTGTCCTCCAGGCACCCACTGCCTACGGTTAGCACCCAGTTAGTCCATTCAGATCACTAGTCCACCAGATGGACAAATCCACTGGTCAGACCACAGCTCTCAATGTTTAAATCATTCCAGTTTTCGACATTCCTGCCATGCCACATGGGGCTTTTAGGGGCCACCTCGAATCCAAACTGTCATACCTGCTTTGGGGCCAAAGCTGCATTTGTTTATGGTGCAGTAGAACAAAGATAATGGTTCAGAGGTCAGGCAGGGTTACTGTTCATTTCATGCCACTGAATYGTGCACCCAGGACTAATTAACACGGCAAATTTTATGTCTATTTTTCCATAATAAAATTATTAAAAGAAAAATATTTAGATTCCCCAAACGTGGAGTCCTGTTTCTTAAATAATGCACCTCGGCCCCTCTCCTTGCCTTATGGAAAACGGGGACTTGGGAGCCAACACTGAAATGCTGTCTGTTGCTGTTCCCATGAGCAGCAGGTTCTTTTCTTTGACCCAGGTGGCTCACACCTTCTGCCAGTATCCTTCACACTCTGCCAGCCCAACCTGTTCTCTTGTAAGTGGGTGAAACCTCAGACTTTCCATAGTCTTTGATGTGGTCTGTTGGTACCATCTAGTGTGTGTGTGCGTGTGTGTGTGTGTGTGTGTGTGTGTGTTTGGTAGTTGTAGACAGCAGCATGCTTTTATTTTATCTATTTTTTTGTATGCGGTGTTAAGAATGAAACCCAGTGCCTCACACATGCCAGGCAAGTGCTCTGCCACTGAGCCCCAGCCCTAGCCCTGGGTCCATATTTTTTTTTATTAGTCAAAGTTAATAATGGTGATGGACTTAGCATTGTTTCCAAACCAGTGGGGAGATTTTATGTACTGTAACTGGGGAGGGCAGAAAAGTACCTTTTCTTTAGGGAAAATTTAGATATGATAAGAATTTAAATCTAATAAGCTTACCCCTTTTGCATACATGTTCTAAATAAATCTTGGGTCTGCGATCAGCAGGGGAGCTAATGTATGATTAGCAGATACCTGGTACAGGTGACGTGTGTCTCTATGCTCCATGATAAAATGATGCCTTTCCAAGATAAGGAGGCAAGAAATGAGCCAGCTCTCCACTTTAGCTAAGTAAACTGCCCCTCGTAAGTATGGATCAGGTCAGAGTCCGCTGTCTCYGAAACACGGGCAGATGAATAGCTATAAAATAACCGAATAAACAACTGTATTTTGTATTTTGTTCCATTTAGTGGAAGAGGGCAGAAGATGGGGGTGCTTCCTTTAGAGTGGTTTTGGATTGTTTTGTAGCTGTCTTTATCAGTAGGTAGTTGATTTTGAGTGGTAAAATAATGAGAGTTGCAAAATCTTTTATGCTAAATAGTTTTATTCAATAGCATTTAAGTCAGCCTCATGAACATTGGAGCAAAGGAAGTTTGTTTTTTAATTGGAGGTTGCACCATTATTTATTTATCTTAAACTTTTGAATCAAATTTGTACACATAATATTTGTAAATGTCAACCAGTTCAACAGGAATTACGATAAGTCATCATAATTATTTATTATCTATTTATTATCACAGCCTTCATCAGCTCCATTCCTGTGCCTTCATCAGCTCCATTCCTGTCCCTTCATCAGCTCCATTCCTGTCCCTTCATCAGCTCCATTCCTGTCCCTGTGGGTGAACAGTTGGAACTACTTCAGTTATTTCTTGTGGATTACACTGCTATATTTCTAAACCATATACCCACTTCCCGATTTTAATGCCCATGAGATCATTACGTCTTACAAGAGATGTGATGTTACAGTTCAATTGGCATTGAACATCTTTTATTTTTAGATATATATAAAATAATGGAGATCATTAATTCATCGCATCTCAAATTTGAGACAATACATCTCTTGATTTTGTTTTTCCAATTTAGACAATATTCATTAACTTTCTATCTAATGAGATTATAAGACGATTATTGAGAGTCTCACTGCCCCCACACCCTGTAAAAAATAAGCTCACATGCATCGCTTCCCCCTTTCCACTCTAATCGTACAATAGTTTCTGGCTAACCTAATCTTTCATCTGCACATTACTCTCACTTTGTAGGTGTTCTTGTTTGTTAAT